CCCCAAAACCCCAAAACCCCAAAACCCCAAAACCCCAGGGAATAAGATTGCTATAGAAATATTATATAATTATTCATCAAAATAATTGATGAGCTTTATGCAAACATCTCCAAAGACGTTGAATTTTGCATTCTTACAAATGGATTTTTCATCCATTCATAGAGAAGTAAAGTAATTCCATTCACTGGAAATGCTCTGACTAGTCATATGCCTAGCCCTTTGAAGAATATTTTGTACCCGTTCTGAGCCAATAGATGGCGATAAGTTCACATCATGCTTGAATATTCAGAATTGTTTTGCATTACACTTTTTACTAAATCAATGGGATATCATGCAATCCAAGACAATTGACCAGCTAATCCTCCAGACAAGAAGATATAAAGACTCTTCATTGATTGATCATTCTGACCCATTTGGTCAACTTTTAGTACTCTTTTGAAATAGCCATAGCTTGCAAAATAAACTCCACAGCTAGGAACTTCTCTAGCTAAAGTTGGAATCAATCCTCTAAACAAGCCTGAAAGCCCTTCTGCCCTAGCAATGGAACTGTAGCTAATATTTCCACTAGAATACGCCTGCTTTTTTATTTTGATGTGTTCAATAGGGCATCATATTGGGGAAGACACAATCCCTGAAACAACTCCAGCAATAGTAGCTTTTAGGTTCTCGTTTATATTGAAATAGTTCATCATTCTGAGTCAATAGTCATTTGCTGCCATAGTTACTCCGGATATTGGAGCTCTCCCGATCACCGGAGCAACTGCTCCTTTGTAGAGTCCTCTTACACCTTCTTTAACACAAGTTTCAGTTGCTAACTCAAGCATTGGTTTGGGATTGGATAATTGCATTCTGATACGAAGAGTGTCAAGAGGATGGCCTATAAACACTCCAATTGAACCAGAGACAACACCTGCTGTAAAGTCTATGGATGCCTGCGGAATCTGAAATCCGTATAAATGAGGTTTTTCTGTGTGTAACATAAATTAATTATGCTTCAACCTCTCCAATATATACCGGGGTTTTGGGGTTTTGGGGTTTTGGGGTTTTGGGG